GTGATCACTGAGGGTTCTGGTGATAGAACTAGGTCGTTTTCTGCACCTGAGTGGAAAGTCAGAGGTCTCTTGTAACAGAAGTGCATCTCAAATCCAAATGTAACTAAAGTGACATAAGGCGGTGGTGTTGATGACAAACCCAGCACAGGGAAGTATTATAATGATGGACACCTACCAGGTGGCTGTAGGAAACTCTGCATTAGGAGACTGGAGAGCGAGGTTGTCAGTGTCATTCTTGTACTGTCTGGCAGAGAGAATTCTCTGATGCTAATAACTACTCCTGATTATCCAGATAAAAATCACCATCAAAGAGAGGAATGCAATTCATCCAGCCACCATGGCTTGATCAAAATTTCATTGAGAAAATGTTTAACTCTTTTTTTCTTTTCTCTGACAGCAACCTCCTGGTCATTATTTTGTTTCCAGCAGGAGGAAGGGGCCTTTGCCAGGCACTCGGCTCTCAAACATCTCATGAGCTCACAAGGAAGGTTTCTTTCTTGGGTTCTTGGGTCACTGAGAAGTAGATGAAAACAAGTTTAAGAAATACCAATACAGCAGAGAAGCTACTGGATTTACAGTGGCTACATCAAAAAGCAGATGTCCCTTAAGGAAAATCCTAAAAAGAAAATCTTTCTTTCTTCTTCTTATGGCTCTTCTTTAAACATAACAAAGATAGGATGGAGTTAAATTCCTGGAGTATGGGATTGCCAGGGGGGTGGGGTGGAAAGTATAAAGATAAGAGACAGAGACAGAGGCGGAGAGAAAGAGAGACAGAGAATGGAGTTTAAATGTGGAACCTTAGAAAATACTGGTAATGGAGTATTAAGAGGTGGAAATGGGAAAGGATGTGTTAAAGGGTAGAGAGAAGGAACAATCGTGGAGGGCAAGAAAACTACCACATCCTAGCAGCCAAGGAGAGAAATGGTTTGCCCAGAGGCCAGGCACGGTGGCTCCTGACTGTAATCCCAGTACTTTGGGAGGCTGAGTTGGGAGGATTGCTTGAGGCCAGGAGTTTGAGAACAGCCTGGACCACATAGCAAGACCCTGTCTCAATAAAAATAAAATAAAAATTATCCAGACATGATGACTCACACCTGTAGTTCTAGCTACTCAGAAGGCTGAGGCAGGAAGATCACTTGAGTTAGGAGTTCAAGATCCTGTCTCAAAAAAAAAAAAAAAAAAAAGAGTTTGGTGGGCAAATGCAGAAGATACTGTTAGATATGTGAAAATAAGTTCACTGAATTCAGTCAATAGACACCTGAGAAAGTCATATCGAATTGTTTGGGTGGGGGTCAGAGGCATAAGTCAGATTGGAAAGGCAAGTAGCGGGGCAAGGACATGAAGAATGGTGATGGTAGCCAGTTGTTTTTCAGAAGCTTGATGTTTAGACATAGATGAAAAATGAGACAGTGGCTTGTGGCTTGAGACAGTTTTATACGCTTTTGTAGGAGGGGGCTTTGCATGGTGGAGGTGCACACGTACATGCATATCTCAGCAGGACTGGCTTGGAAAGTACAGATTGAGTCTCTTCCCCAGGGTGGACGGCCACAGCGCTTTCCCAAACAGTAACTGTGCTTTCCAACGGAGGCTGTTAAAGGAGATGTCCTTATTCTGGGACAATGCTTCTTGAAATCGCATTTTTAACAGTAGATATCTATACCATGTCATGACAACTTTTTGAATCAGTGTCACATTGTGAACTTTCATAGCCAGTGTTCATATTTCCACACTCTTCCCAATGCCAGGATATTGTATGTTAGCAAATTCTTCATTGTGGTGAGAGGAGTGATAAACGTCAGTTTCTTAGCTATATTAAATGGGATTTTCCCCATATCTCTGTTGTATTATAGATGATACCTGGAGTCATTAACTAGGGCTTATCAAGGAAGTACTGAATAATTTGAGTGGCAGGTGAGGGTTTTACAAATGGCAGATAAATTCAAGTGCCTTTTTTTCAATCTTTGTTTTTCTTGACAGCTCTGCATCATCTAATGCTCCTAATGGCTTTCTTCTTGAATGCCCTTGTCCCAGGAATTTTCCTTTCATACTGTGCTGACCTTATCTCTTTTTCCTGAATCAAATGCTCCTTTTTGTTTTTCTAAATTGTCTTTTCCTCTTTGCTTCCTCATTCATTTGGGTTTATGCCAACTTTCATCTTATTTCCTCTTTCCTCTCAAGGTAGTTTTTCTCAATATCTCATCCAGTCTTATATCTATCTCATTTACATAATTTGTCCTTTCGCTGTGTCAGCACTTTTTTTGGGTGCAGCTTTCCAAATTTAATTGCAAAGTCCATAGTCCTTTCAACGTGTACATGCATAAAACTCAAATGTGTTATCTTTCCTGGTTTAAAAAAGGAGAAGAAAAAAGTTGTTTGACCACATAAAAATATTAAAACATCTATGGTTCAATAATATCATAAGCAAATGAGAAATTAACATAAAATATTTTTATTAAAAATGACCAGGAAAAAAATTCATTCTAAAGAAGCTTTTATAAACTTTTTTTATTTCTTTTTTGAGATGGAGTCTCGCTCTGTTGCCCAGGCTGGAGTGCTGTGGCATGATCTCGGCTCACTACAACCTCCACCTCCTGGGTTCAAGCAATTCTCTGCCTCAGCCTCCTGAGTACCTGGGATTACAGGAACCTGCCACCATATCCAGCTATTTTTTAAATTATTTTTTTAGTAGACATGGGGTTTCACCATTTGACCTGGCTAATCTTGAACTCCTGACCTCATGATCCACCCAACTCGGCTTCCCAAAGTGCTGGGATTACAGGTGTGAGCCACTATGCCCAACCTTATAAACATATTTTTTAACCAACAACCCAGTAAAAAGAATGGACATGAGTTTACAATTTATAAAAGAAAACTATAAGTGGCATTACATGAATAAAAATTATCAATATTAATTTTCATTGGTAAAAAGTGCATAATTTAAATGTAATAAAAATATTTACTCCAAATAAGCAAGTATGAATAAGATAATACTTAATGTGACCAGAAATACAAAAGAACACTATTATTTAACATATATTAAAATTTGTGTAATTTTTTCCTAAAGAAAATAATTATCAAGAGACTTAAAAACACTGATAATTATTGACTCATTTTTTCTGTTTCTAGGTTTATATGTTTAAGTATAATCATATATGTGCATGAGGACATAGACACAATAATTCCCACTTCAATAATAATACATCAGTGTGAACCATCCCTCCGAAAACATTTGCCATGATCTTACCATAAATGCTAAGTGGCCAAGTCTTACCACCTGAACTGAGATTGACACTTTCATCATCCGTATGATACTCATATACCTCAATATTAAAATATCTTAGCATTGCTCCTATTAATTCCACAAGAGGCATAAACCTGGACAGTCCAAGGAGATGCGTGGTAACCCAACTAGTCCAAAGCGCTAAATTATGTGTGTGTTTGTACTGATTTGGGTGGATCCTCTACGTCTATCCTAATCCAAGAGGTAGCTGACCTTGGACAAAGACACTGTATGATCATGACAGATACAGCTAAAAGTGTCTAGATGGTCTAAAAATGAAGAAACGACAATGAAAGTATGTAAATGTCTGATTATTCCAGACTATTTTGTTTTGATGCCATGATTTTGAAATATCAAGTCTCGTGTAGAGTCAGTAAGAGTCTATTCAATGGGTTTCCATCCTGTATGATTAGCAGAAAGCTGGACTAGCAATGTCTTACTTGTTGATAGTCTTCAGCATACTTCATCCCGAATATGCCATTCTTGTCGCCTACCTATCTGAAGACATACTTTGTTATACATACACGCACACACACATGAACAAAATAAACTACAGATTAAAAAAGCACTCGTTTGGACCCAAAATAGTATTTTTCTAAATAAAACCACTCTACCTTAAGAAAAAAATTGTAAATTCATGATTTGCATACCATGATTCATTCCTGAAAACTTCAATTGCTTAAAACTAATTTGTTGACTACCCATTTCTGCAAAAAAAAAAAAAAAAAGGAACTGTGCCTGAAACTGAACCTTCAAAATAAGATCAGGTCTCTGGAAATTCTTGCAGTCTGATCTGAGAGCTTGGCCTTTTTCTAAGTGGTCTGATACTGTGGTGTCGACGCACAGGAGACTCGATGTGGCCAGGAAGCGTCAATCAGACGGTCTCGTGTTGGGAAAAGTTGTCTGTTCTCTCTCAAATTCTCAAAATACAACTGGATTTTAGTTTCCGGCTCACAATACTGCTTGCTTTTGGGTAGTGTAATATCCCATTGCCAAATATTGCACTGGTAACTCTATTGATAGCAGTGGATGTGACTTTGACAGAGAAACTGCCCAGGATGTTCTGTTGTAGCGTGAGGAGCCATGTGGCATATGTCATTTGAAAAAAAGCACTGCTTGAACAATATATTTCATAACTGTTTTTCCCTTGGGAATTCTAAAATAGATATGTGGGAAATAGCAGATGAATCACGGGCAGCTTGAAATTTAGTCATAAGCATAAATGTTCTAAGAGTGTACAACAGAACTTTGCGTCCATCAGTGAGCATAACAAGTCTGTCATTGGATAGATCCTAAGTGAAATTAGATATAAAAGAGAAATACATTGAATTTACTGGACAACATTCTTCAGATCTGCTGGGACATATTTTCATTTTCTGTGAGTACTGGAATGGATTGGGACAAGCTGGGTGTCAAAACTTTAGGCTAGACAGAACGTAAGCATTTTATCCTAGCAAAGGTCAGCTCCCAAAGACTGTGGAATGAACAACAAGGAGACATGATAAATAATTAAGGAATAAATGCAATGCAAAGTATTTACTTCTGTTTTCGTGATAATAGGTATTCTTTTACAACTTACTGGAAGCCACAGGCTGTTTTGAAAACCAATTATTTCAGGGGCAGTTTCATTTTCTTACATGTATGATACATTCTGCAGGTAGAAATAGTAGGGCCCTCACTCTAAACCTGCGATTTCCACAACCCCTCCAAGCTTTCTTACCACAGTCTTGGGATGCTCACTTCCTTGGTGTTCGCATTCTGCTCCGTCGTATCCTTCAAGTCTCGTCGCTGCGGCTGGCTCCTCATCAGAGCTCCGCTGTCTTGTTCAACGCCTGCCAGTGACTACCTTCTTGCCCCGTTGATTGTTTGCATTATTCATACCACACACCACTCTTGGAAATTATCTTACTTATGGCTGTGATTTCTGCTTACTGCTTTTCTCCCCTGTTTCTCTCAGGGAATGAAAGACCTAGGAGAGGCGGGATGGGGGCTCCCCTGTCAATCTCTGGGTAATTGCGGTGTCTGTCAAGGGTAGACACTTAATAAATATATTTTGATTTCACTGAATGAAGTCTTTACTTATCAGGTACCAATTTCCCTCCAGGGGAAAATAGCACATAACTCGGGTGTTCACAGAGCCACCGTGATTGTGTTGACAAGAAAAGTCTTCCTGTCATGGTAGCTGTTCACTCACATGTGACATGGGGCACACTGCTGTCGCTTTCTATTCACACCAGTTTCTGTGCCCAGAAAAACCACCAGCTGCTGGGGTGTCAGGGCTGTGGCTCTGCTCAGAAAATGTAATCAGAGTCTTAGAGGCTTGCCTTTGCTGTCACCAAGCTGACTGCTTAACAATCTGATTCTTTGCAATTCATTCTTCAAGGACTGGTCACTGGTAACTAGTTCATACCACGTAGATATGTATGAGGGCCATTGTTTTACTTGTTCTATGGCACAATCGCCCAACTTTGAGCTGTCTACAAGTGTTTAAACTCATCAAAAATGATTTTTGTCTTTAATCAAATAGAAACATATGTGGAACATACAATACAATTGTTTCTCAGAGTGGCTAAGGTTCAAAATTCATGGAAGAGGAAAATAAAATTCTCCTTGCTTTCCATTGCCTACCTCATTGCTGCTTCAGCTGTTTTCTCATTGCAACTGGGGATTTTTGCAGTTTTGTTTTTAATAAACACTGATTATGATCATGATTGCTTGCCTAAATGGGATAAACATTTACGATTTTTTTCATGTGTATTGAGCTTCTGCATGACTGAAACTGAAATTTAAATGTGAAAATTCAAGGCCAATTTTGTTATCAATAGTCAGAATGACAAGAGCTATAAAATCTCAAGTCATGAATTTTTCATACCAGGGTGTCACAAATGTATCTTTACTCTTTACAACAACCATACCGAGGAGAAGCAATTTCCATTCTACATGTGAAAAACCCAGACGCATGGTAGGACTGTGCCATGAAATTTCTTCTAAATCTGTTTTATTGTATATAATTTCTCAGTCTAAATATAAAACCAGAGTTGTGTGTTATCTTTTGCTTTTGAAGGGAATGAGAAGATAAGTCACCTAAAAATTTTACATGTACCACAGGAACGGGAGACTTCTGGGGGGTCAGTGCCATGTGCATATCCTTGTATTGTGGACGCTTAGAAAATACTTGTGCCCAGCTAGAGAAATGGCCCAAGTCTGATGAAGATACAACCATCCCTCACCCTGCACGCTTTTCATGCAGGGAAAGGTGTCCAAACCACTCTGCCATATAGAACAGAATCATCTGTTTGGCACTTAATAATTAATTTCATTTATCATTCTATTGGCTGTGTTACGTTAACTTCCGGTGTTGTAACTTGCCAAATAATTCCTTGTGCTGTGTTGTATAAGGTGTGCTGAGTGAGGAAAATAAATGCTTGCTTATGTGAAAATAAAATTAAATAAAAATGTGAGGTCATGTTCAAGAGCTATGTAACTAGTATTTGAATATTTTGAGTAAAGGGTTATTTAGATAACGTTCCATTTTAGAAAGAAAATTAAATTTGAATTTAGATAATGTAAATGTCCAAAGATTAACACTATAAATATCACTGGGTATTTTTGACATAGATCATTTATTTGGAAATTTCTAAAATAAAGAAAAGGGTGCTTTTTCTTTTTAACTGTGAACATCAAACTTTAAAAATAAATAACATATTTGATTCAGGGTAAATTGATGTATCTCCCTCTATATTTATACCTTAAAAGAATTTGCAGGTAGGCAGATGTTGCAATCCTTTATAGAAACATTTGTACTGTCTTTTATTTTTACTTCCCCATTGATGTGCATGAAGATAATGACATGTGATCCCTGACAGTTTATTTACCAATATGACAGAATTCAGTATGGTTTGAGAATTTCTCTTTTAAATGATAAGCTAGTGGATTCATTTTTCAATGAGCTTTTTTTTCTTTTTTTTTTTTTTTTTTTTGAGACGGAGTCTCGCTCTGTTGCCCAGGCTGGAGTGCAGTGGCCAGATCTAGGCTCACTGCAAGCTCCGCCTCCCGGGTTCCTGCCATTCTCCGGCCTCAGCCTCCCGAGAAGCTGGGACTACAGGCGCCGCCACCGCGCCCGGCTAATTTTTTTTTTGTATTTTTTAGTAGAGACGGGGTTTCACCGTGGTCTCCATCTGCTGACCTTGTGATCCTCCCACCTCGGCCTCCCAAAGTGCTGGGATTACAGGCCTGAGCCACCGTGCCCGGCCTCAATGAGCTATTACTATGACACCTAATTGGACTTTTAAAGATAAAAATCTGAATCTCTCTTGAGTTTTTAATAATTTTGGTGTTTTTGAACTCTCTAAATATTTTACTTGAATTTAAAATAACATATTTTCCTAAAAACTGATGCGTTTCTTAAAAGATTAATGTATTTTCTAAAAATGTCTGCTCCACAGTCTTTTATAAAACATTATTATAAATCAGTTGACCTAAGGAAATAAGACAAAATACAATTATGGAAAAGAAAGCCAAAATGTGCTGAAGTCATAGATTTGCAATTTTACTTTGAAAGGCATTCTTCATAGCACTTAACACCCCCTAACATTCATTCTTGTGCTTGTTAACTCTAGCCTCCGTCCCATAGAATATAAGAAAATAAAAACAAACTTTTGTGTCTTTTGTTCCATTTTGCATTCAGCACTTTGAACAATTAGAACATTTTAGATGCTCAGTAAATTGTCGAATAAATATTTGCTGACCAGAGTTAGGGACCTTGCTTTTTAAATACTAACAGTGAATAAACTGCATTAGGGAGGTTGAAACTGATTTTGTTTTGAGACTGAAATTAATGCTACTTGAGTCCGGTACTCAAGCAGCTTATTTAACTAATTTAATATTAATTGAGCTCAATTGAGGGTTTAACAGTTTTCCAAGTGGGAACTCTGTGCAGAAAAATGTGAGTCAAAGCATTGCCCAGACAACCCATGCCCTCAGAAAAGCACCAACACTAACAAATATAAGCCATGGAAAAAATGGGGGAACAGGAAGGAAACATGTCTTTGGTTAATTTGATCAAAGAAGAATGGGTTCATCTAGAAAACAAAAACTGCGTGGTTCATTTTGCTTGTTTGACTACATTGGGTTTTCCAAATCTCCAAAAGCAAATGTGCTTGCAGAAGAGAAGTGTTAAAGAAGAGTGTTTATCTGGATGACTTGTCACTATTCTTATGCTTCGGTACTTGCAAAATCTGTATAAATAAGCTGTAAAATTTTATTTGAGCATAACTAAAGAGTATTACTTTGTAGAAATATCTCCTGGCCACAGGAGGCCACTGTGGCAGCAATTATAAATCCCTGACACCAGCCTGCCATGCAGAATAGCGTAACTAATTTTTAATATGAATACCACTTGTCTAACACTTAGCATGTTATGTTATAGAATACTTATCTGCGTGTCCATCACATCCTTTGTATTGTAATACCCTCAGGCCCTATGTGTTCCTACATTCCCAGCAAAGATACACTTTATATTATAATTTTAATAATTATGAGGGTCTTATTCAGTTTATCTAGGTCAACTCAGTATCATATGTATCACATGGATTATTTTATAAGTAATAAACAATATTTAATTTAATTAAATTATAACATTGGCCATAATAGAAAGGTTAGTAAATAAATTGAAAAAGAAAGGAGAAATATTAAATCTCCTTTAACATATTTGAGTAGATTCATAGGCTCCTACAGTAACATCTTTCTACAAAATTACTGCTTACAGAACTTCTTAAAAACCCTTGTATATTCTGGAATGATGAACTTAAGGCATCTGTAAAATCATTTCTAAAATCACAAAGAGATAAATTTCATTTATGTCCAAATCTTTATTGTGCATACCATATAAACATTTCCTTCTTTCAGATTATTAAATAATTGTTATTGTTTTAAAGATGAATTTTTAGTTTTTTTATTTAACATAACTTAAAGAGAAGTTTGTATACTACAATAAATGAAAATTTCTCTAAAACAGGATTCATGAGTACTTACTCATGAATCCTGTTTTACTCTTTAATAGTTTTGTAATTACTCTTTAATAGTTTTATTTGTATTTTTGAGCAGTCTGGATTATTTATTTTACTCTCATCAAGATTCATAAACAGTAGAACTGTTGACTGATTTGATTGCTTTTATAATAGTTATTAATCAGTAAAGATTAATAAAGTAAAGAAGTAAAGAAGAGGCCAGATGCATGTTTATAAAATTCAATTTGCAATTTAAATCCACTTAATTAAAATGTTTCAGTACACAAGTTTAGAATATTTGGAAGTGTTCTGTGAAAGCTGAATCAACAAAACAGAGGATAAGGCACATTTAACATTGTTATCTTTACACAGTAACTGTTCTGATTACTTTTCAGTAGTTTATTATAGCAGAATGTTTAGAAATTATTTCAGTTGTGTATTCAGGAAAATACCTTTCTACCTACACATGTCCTTCTTTGCTCCGTGAGTTCTCCTGCTGCTCCAGCTCTTACAGATACAGTAATAAGCTGGTGATGTTTTAAGCTAGCTACTATCCTGTTACTATTGTGTTTTTGTATTCAACTAAAACGGAGCGTTTTAAGCTAGCTACTATCCTGTTACTATTGTGTTTTTGTATTCAACTAAAACGGAGCGTTTCTTATAAGTAACAAATGTAGCCTTGTGTTGGGAAAATGGTGAGTAACACAGGGCTCTGGTCCTAGGAACAGTCATAGCACAGTGGAACTGAAATCCTATAAACGTAGACATGAAACACAATGTGTTAAAAACTACATTAAAGGTATGCCCACAATGTTTTCACAACACAGATGCTGAGTGAAGTAAGTCTGCTTTGCAAAATTCGAGCAACTCTTTGTAAAATGGGGTTGATTTCAGTAGATGGAGAGAAAAATTCTAAGGAGAGAAAAGGTGATAATGAAATATCAATGACAAAAGTAACAATAGCCATTGATTTTTTGAATACTTAGTACGTACCCAACTTTTTATACTATTACTCAAAGTTAGGTAATGAAACAATCGGAGCAACTTTTGCATTTAACGAACAAGGAAATTGAGCTATGGTTACACTAAGTGAATTATTAAAATCACATTGCATTCATTGGTTCATGTGTTCATTAATGTATTCAAAATTTATGTCAAACACTGCATTAATTACCAGGGATGTGGGACCT